GAGTGTGTGTGCATGTCCGCCAGCACAGAGGGAGGGAGAGGCAGAGAGAGAGGTACGAGGAGACTCCCAGCTAAGCGGGAAGCCTGATGCAGGGCTGGATCCCAGGACCCGGAGATCATAACCTGAGCCGAAGGCAGACGCTTAACCAACTGAGCCACCCAGGCGCCCCATGAGTATGTTTTATAATTAAAGAGGCCCCAGGGCACCAGGCCGGCTCAGTCAGTAGAGCATGCGACTCGAACTCAGGGCTGAGTTAGAGACCCACATTGGGTATGGAACCCATTTTAAAAATTAAAAATTTTTAAAAAATAAAGAGGCCCCAAATCCTGATAATCACTTAATGACAATGAAATGGCATTTTATGAGTGGGCTGAGAAAGCTGCAGTGTAATGGAACAGAAAACAAGGCCTTTTGGAAGTCAAGGCTGGCCTGGGTCATGAATACACTACTTGTTTAGTAGGATGAGTAATGTGTGAGGAACTTCTGCCCAGTTTATTCACCTCTCAAGTGGTTAAACATCACGTAAGAAAAAGGCCCTGCACAATGGTTGGCAGAGTGTTACTCAAAAGACAAAACTTCCTTTCCTGACGACTCCCAATTGTCTTCACTGAAGCTTTCAGCACCACTAAAAGGCATCTACTTTCAAAACTTCAGTTCCTAGCCCTCTCCAAATCATCAGCGTTCATCTACTCCTTACTACTTACAAAGAGGGCAGCTTCTACTCCCAACCTCACTCCCGGAAACTTTAATGTCAGGTGGACAGTTATATACATTGCCAACTGAAATCCAAGTGGGGCTGCCAGTTCGGTCAATTTTGTGTCCCCATCAAACCCAACAGCTGGCATGCATGAGCCAGCCACTAATGCCGTCTGATACTCCCACCTTCTTGGCATCTTGCCAGGATTAACGCTGAACAAGTTACCCCACACCCGTTTTACTTGGTAGTACAACTGAAAGAGTCAAAAATCCTGACTGGAATTCCACTTCCAATTCATGGCTATAGGATCCTAAGTTTTCCCCCAAACCCTTAGTGCAGCTACACAATTGCTCTTGCTCTCTCAATTTCTACTTTATGATTAAGGTACTCATTTCAGATTCTTTATAGCCTTTAGTCCCCCCAACACCCTGCCATCTGACACTAAGGGACTTTCCGAAGGACCCTCAACTAAAGATTTGCCACCTCACTCTAGGTCCAAGAGCCTTTCTCTTAGGGGATGTAAAGCCCTACAACCAACCTCTTAAGTTACCCTAACCCATAATGGATGAAACATGAAGAAAGTAGTGTAGTTTAGGTCTCAAATTCCTGAACTTGAACTCAGATCAATTACATGTTTTCTAGACACCAAGCTGTTGTACATCCCTGTACCCCATTCCACTAAGCCCGTGTGTCATGGACTACCATGTGAGAAAAGTTAACAAATGACAAATTTCCAACTTGTACTTATTTGTAAAGCACTCATTGAAACAGTATGTATTTTTATCTAAACTATAAATTCTGGTGGCAAGAGCCAGCTGGAATGGGTTAAGAATTAACAGCTGCTTAAGCTTAAAAGAATTTAGGGGCACCTGGGTGGCTCAGTCAGTTAAGGGTTTGCCTTCAGCTGAGGTCACAATCCCAGGGCCCTGGGCTCAAGTCCTGCATTCGGTTCCCTGCTTCTCTGCCTCTCCCCCCCTTCCTGTTCTCTCTCAAAATTTTTTGTGCCTGGGTGGCTAAGTCGGGGGGCATCTGCCTTCAGCTCAGGTCATGATCTCAGGGTCCCTGCATGGGGCTCCCTGCTCAGTGGGTAGCCGCTTCTCCCTCTGCCCTTCCTCCCCTCCCCTTACTCATGCTCCCTTCTCTCAAAATCTTTGGGGAAAGAAAAAAAATCTTAAAAAAAATTTAGGGGCGCCTGGGTGGCTCAGTTGTTTAGCGTCTGCCTTCAGCTCAGGTCATGATCCCAGGGTCCTGGGATCGAGCCCCGCATCAGGCTCCCTGCTCCACAGGAAGCCTGCTTCTCCCTCTCCCCTGCTTGTGTTCCCTCTCTCACTGTGTCTCTCTCCATCAAATAAATACAATCTTTAAAAAAATTTTTTTTTTAAATTGAGAAATCATTTTGAGGGAGTTAATTCTTTCAAGAACTTTTAGCTGTCCTCAGTTTTATATTCTGGTCATTTCCATTTCCTTTTACAAATGAACAATCCTAACCATTAACACCCAAAAAAGGGTAGCATTGAGCAACTTTCCCCCTCGGCTTGATTTGCAGATTTGGGGCTGGTCAGTAAAAACCACCCCTAAAGGATGCTAACTTTCCCCATATGAAACCTGAATGAGGTACATACTGAAACAAAGGTGCCATTTACAAGAAAGACTTGAAAAGCAGGGCAAATCAGGGGCACCTGGCTGGCTCAGTGGGTACAGCTGGCCACCTGACTTCCAGGTTGTGAGTTTGAGCCCCCATGTTGGGTGTAGAGATTATTTAAAAAAAATAAAAGCAGCAAAAGTCACCTACAATTTTTCCGGAAAGCTCAACTTTGCTCTGGAAATAGTGAAATATTCTCCATATAAGGACCTCTCCAAATGACTAGGAAGTAACAGTGTTTCCAGAAAGTTTCACTTCCTCAAGACTAAGTACGTATCTGTACCTATACAATGTTTTATGTATGTCAGAGAATGGAGGAAAAACTAAATGAGATATATAGTATTATACCCATGTGTATCATATCATGTCAGTCTGGGAAACATTTTGGGTGTTGTGTTCTAAATAATTAACAAGAAAACTGGAATACTAAAGGAGTCTAAATACGGTTATCCTAAATTTCTGCAATCCCAATAAAGAACAAAATCGAGCAGTTATACTAGGTTTATCAAGACAAATTTTCAGTGATTCTTCTCAGAATCTCCCAAGTGTGCAATACAGCTGAATTCTTTTGCCATATTCCAAAGAATGTTTAATAAAGAGCATTTGTATGGGCATAGAAAACTGAATTCAACACTAATTTTTAATAAAAATATACTCCAACCCAGTTTTTCTTCAGCTACTTTAATTATAAAAATCTTTCATATTCTCAAAAAAAAAAAAAAAAAAAAAACCCAGAAGGCAGCAGTCTAGTACAAAAATATACAACTGGAAGACATTACCACCAACTAGATCTGACAACTAAAAATCATGTTCACGACTGAAAATAAAAGCAAATTAAAACGAAGTACTAAACCAGTGGTCTTATTTAGTCATTTAATCAGGGATATTTATCACCTTAAATTCTTTCAAATAACAGTGTTTGGTTACTCTATAAGAAAAAAAGAGTTAACAGGCCTGGTATCAGGCTGTATTTTGAAAAACTTCTTTGATGAAAAGCATTCCTGATAAAGTTCTGTACTAACATGAACCATATTAACTCTCTAATAAAAAGCAACCAGGGCTTCCCATCCAGATATGGGTGAGTCTAACTAAAAGGAGGAGAACACATCTACAGATCACAACTATGTAAGAAACTGTGAAAGTAAACAGTAGATAAAAGGTTATCTACATCTGATAAAATGAAAATTCCTCTGGCTAATTTATCTTCACCATTCTGCTTAAGACATGAAGGTCAGAAGTAACCCACAATGAGGTGAGAACCACAGATTATTCTGGAAAAGCATAAAAACCAACTTCAATCCTTGTATCCTTAAATCATCACCCAGTATTAATAGTGACCTCTAGTGAACACCTGTAGTCATTACACTAGAGGTCAGCTTTTATGACTAATCTCTTTCAGTATTGTACTTAACTCAAGAGGATGCAGGGACAAAGTTGGCTAATGAAACAATTTTAGAAATCACAGTAACCAGAACTTTTAATAGCCAGTAGCTGAATGTGCAGTGATTTTAACAGCTTCTATATTTAAAAAAAAAAAAAAAAAAAAAATTTTTTTTTTTTTTTTTTTTTTTAAACAACAAGCCATAAAAACTGTGCTGGGGCTTCTGGTTAAAGTGATTGCAGATTTGGCCTGTGTCAGGATAACTCCCTGAGATCGACTTTATCTTAGATTCTGTATAAAGCCACATTATACCCACAACCTACTAACCTTTTTACAAAAACCCTTCCAACTTAAGGTTCTGCAAGCTGTATACTGCCAAAAACACGCATATGAATATCCATTTAATGAGTAGTGTGATTATACTGATATACCGTACTACTTCCATGACCTCTTAGCTATCCTTGTTGTGAACCAGAACAGTTTTGGGCTATGAGAAAATGCCAAAAGACAAAAAAGGCCCAAAAAGCCAGAGCTCCCAGTACATCAATAGTCTTTAAAAAGGTCTCCTCTAAGAAGGCTCATATTGAATCTGACAATTCTACCTTGTGACACCAATGACTCTCCTCCTTAGTTGGTATCTGCATGAAGTTAATAAGGACCACTGGAAACAATTTGTTTAGGACCTACGTCTTAGAAAATCTTTATAGGCCCAACTCAATGCAATAACTCATCTTTCATATTAAAGTCAGTACAGCATAATCCAAAACTACCTTTAAGTAGCACATTTAAGGAAACTAAGCCACAAGACTGTTGCATTATGATTTAATCTAATTGCACAAAAATTTGAAATTACAACTCCTCTGGATTTCTAAGAGGAAGGGTTATGCATGCCTCCATATTCAATTCTGCACTGTTACATTTGAACCATATAGTGAATTTTACATCATGATGGATCAATTTAGAATTCCCATGCAACACCTCAATTATATAAAATGGAAGCAATTTTTAAGCTTTGTGGAAAGGTCTCATGCTAATGATAAAAGCCTTTTTTAATGGGTCACTTTGGGTTATAATGTACCAGGTTGCTATACTTTTAAAATGTTGGTCACAGAGTATCATGGTCTTTGAACTGGCTCCTACTCCTAAAAAATGGTTAAGTACGAACAATCACGTAGGTGACAACCAAAAATCCCCTTCAGCCTCAGTTGTGTTTCTTCTAAGATTTGTGTAACCAACTGATTTCCATGGGACAAGAACTATGGTAATAGTGGGTTCGACTATTACACAATTATGCTAATATTTTATTAATTCAAAAGCACTTTACAAGAAAATAGAAGTATGGCTTCCAATAGGAATGTTATACCTGGACTTGATACCAAGCTCACAGATTTTAGTCTTGCAAGGAAAAACAGGCTTTCGGGTTAAACAACAATTTGTAACCAAAACTTTAATCCCAAGGATTCTCACAAACATATTACAAATGACAGCATGAAAAAAAAATAAATCTTGCACAGTAACTCAAAGTTCAGCTCTACAATGTACCCTTAAACTGGCAAGCCATTGGTATCTTTAATAGTTTCAAATTACCAAACAAGAGATTGTTACAAAGAGCTGTGTGTTCATATACAGCAATCACATAAGGAACTTATGACCTAAAGCAAAGGTAAACTAACTTTCTTGCAACTTCCAATTCTACACCAACTGGACACCCCTGCCCAGTATGAATAAGTTTTTTTTTTTTTAAACCTCTAATCTAGTTTAACAGTACAGCTTAATTTTTACCTGCTGGCTTGTGTTCACACCAGCTTTTAAAGACTGCTTCTTCAACTACAGCTCCATACTATTATCCCAGCTATGGAAAGACTTCGTTCAATTTTTGCCAGTTTTCGTAATATTAAATGTCAAGCTTTAGCTGGGCAGAAGTTAGAGGTTTATTATCAGTCTATGTGAGACTAAACTTCAAATTCAATTTTGCTTAAGGGGACATTGCAAAGTAACAATTCTTGATATTACATGCCTCATATGATCCATTCAAATCATAGAGAATTACATATTTGTCACTGTTCCAAGAGACAAACAAATGTGAACAGCTAAAACATCTTAAAAATGCACCAAGCTTATGAAGTCTCAAACAAAACTTGAATTTTCTGTACATACTCCTGTCAAATGAAGGTATTTCCTGTACACCACTCCTCTTGCAAACTGATCTTCTTCTATTTCCTTTCATTTGACCTAGATCGGCTAAAAAACAAAAACAAAAAAAAACACCAAGAACAAAAGTTAACGTACATTACTTAATGACACAACTACATCAAAGACTTTTATGGAAAAATAGTAAAAATAATCAAAATGGCTTCAGGAAGAGCAGGTCCTCGTTAGTATAGTGGTGAGTATCCCCGCCTGTCAAAATGACTTCAGGTGACGAGTTCTGTTTTTACCTCATTGTTTATACACAGTCCAAGTCATTAAAGATCTTACCTACGAGACCTAGAGAAGGATCGGGAAGGCTTGTGATTTCTCTCCCGAGACAGTGATCTCTCTCTCCTCCTATCTCTAGAAAGGGACCTAAAACCAGAAGAAAAATAGGACCATTCAGAATTATACACAACAAACATCTGTACGAAGTCTTCAAAAACTAAGTTGGTTCGTTCCGGCAACACTGGCTCTATTACACCACTTGATTCATTACTAAAGCCAAAGTCTTTTTATTATTAACCATGTCATTTAGAGGACAGTTTAAAGAACAGAAGCGCGGTCATTCCTGAGAACATGCCCAAAAAAGGTAGTTATTTACCTGCTCCGGCTGCGGGAGAAGCTTCTCCGTCTTGGAGATCTAAAAGCAGAAACAGGAAAATTAGGCTAATTGTCAATTAGTATTTATGGCGTGAGGCATTTCCCAACTTTTCAATCTCACTGTTGGGCCCAGTGAATGTGCCGAAGAACTGGCACCCATCGTCCAAAAAAAATAAAACAAAAAAATAAATAAAAAACAGGGGAAAAAAAACGGAAAAGAAAAAAAGGCACAGAAGGATTAAGGAACCAAAAGCTCAAGTGAACAGCAGGTATTCCAACCATGGATTCACTTTAACAAAGAATGCTTCACAGCAGATCTGTCCAATGCAAAACTTCATGTCAAACTAACTTCACTACCCAAACACCACACCAAAATATAGTCCCACAAGTAGTTCCAAAAACAGTACCATAAACCAGTATTTGGAACCCATGCAAACCTGTAAGTCCATGACAAGACTTAGGTACCAGGTGGATAGTGTAATTTTGTGAAAACGCGCTAGGTGTAAATACTGATGCCATTAAGTGCTACATTAGAACTGCATTTGTGATCGTCACATTTAAGAGTGTGTTTAGGCTCATAAAAATTACCTTAGCTTGGCCCACTTCACCCCCAAAATTTAAATTTTGAAAACTGTTAGTAAAACCATTTAAAGGTGATAGGATTCAACAAATTTTTGCTAGAAAGGAAAGCTAAATCTGTTAGAGTTATTAAAATTTTTAGTTTGGCATCTCACACATGCAAATAAGTTTCACTTGAAGGTCTAGTTACATTATGAGTTCCCTATCACCCTTAAAAGTTTTATTCAAGCAATATATATGTACGTTACCATTCAATTATGCACAGCCAGCCTTTGATCCAGAAAAAAGAATTACTTTAAGCCGCTTACTCCTTATTTTAACCAGCAGTAAACTGTATAAGCAGGAAAAACTTACTAGTTTTGGGTTTCAACAAGCTAGAAATGGTGAGGTGAGGCTGCCGGACTGACGGCCAGGAAGAATTTGCTGAAAAGGTTTTGCCAGATGTTGCGTTGGATTTAGTTGGTTGGCGAAGGGGGTGTTGTGGATTTTTCCTGCTTTTTTGTTAGCCGAAGGCTGCTGCTGTAGTTGTTGTGAAGACATTTGGTAAATAAACAGCTGAGCTGATTGGCCAGGAATGTGTGGGCGGTCGAGGTGGCTGCTGCCGATTTGGTTAAGGTTGGAGAGAAGGCTGAGAGAAAACAGCATGCTCGGGAACCAAAGGGCGGTGCAACCTGACGACTGGCCATGCCTGGGTCATGTGAAACGACACCAGCCAAGCTGAATGGGGCGCGCTGGTCACATGACGCTGAAAGGGCTAGTTGACTGGCTAATGCAGACTCAGAGGGTGGTGAGAAGAGACATGATGGTGACTCTGTAACGGGGTTCATTTTTATTAATAGATGGACCAAAAAGCACAAAAAAAAAATGAAAAACAAGCCATCAGTACAACCATCTATTTAGCTAACAAATACTCTTTATTATGATGGGCAACAGTGTGTTGTTTTGTTTTTCAAAATAGCAAAAGGGGCAAGATTTTGAACTCCTATCTCCTAGAAGGACTTCACTCACCTGTAAGAGGTAAATTCAGTCCTATAGAAACTATTTTGGAGGTTTGAGGAGATGTGGAGTTAGCATCCAGACAATACTGCCTGGTCCAAGAATGATGCCATTTTCAATTATAAAAAAACTGAAATCTCTCCTATTTGGGTTTGAAGAACAGATGACTGGGATTACTTTTTTTAGCCCCCTTTATCGGTCAGTGACTTTAGTTTCAGAATGATTTCTACTTTACCAGTTGTAACATTACAACAGCTGCCTGGTTGATAAATACTACAATCGTGCTAATAGTAGAAAACACATTTTTGTGAAGAGCTAGAGTTGAATGTAATGTTTGTCATTATGGAGTCAAGAAATGGAAAAAGGCCTAAATTGAAGTATAAGGGAAGACTTGGAAAGATGCAACTAGAAGATGAACTAGAAGACAGATCCAAGATAGAAGTTACTGACTACCAACATGAACAGTGACCTAAAGACAAAAGCCAACACTCAGCACAACTCACATACCCCAAACTACACCCAGCACATGTTTCATAAAAACCTCCGATTCTTCAAAGTTTAAAACCCACCAACAAACTTTAAGAGAAATACCTGCTCCTATTAGCTACTCCATTACACCAATACCTCTAAACACGCTCTCAAGTACCTGCGGCGAGGTGGAGGACTCCTTCTCCGATAATCATCTCGAGGGCGACGACCCCAAGACGGTGGTGGGCCACGATTTCGACTTCTCTTTTCACCATTCGAGAGTTCCACTCTTACTCGGCAGCCACATAATGTTCTAAGAAGAAACATTATTAAATTTAAAAAAGCCAAACTGACTTTCTAGGAGACGTGTATTAAAGCAAAAAGAAAGCACTCCTAACTTAGCTTCTTTGCAAAGTACACACCTGAATGTCTGTGGAAGCCTTAACAGCAAAACAAGTTTTTCTCATAAAGAAAACCAACTTCCTTACATTTCAGTGCTTTGTTCAAGTCCATCTAAATCACTGGGCTCAATGTTAACTTGTTAACGTTACAAGTGTGAAACCCCTGGATTCATCCTCAAAGAACTAGTTCATCTGTACATCCTGCTGGGAGATCCCCCAGCACTTGTTTACTGATCTTACTGTATTTGCTTTGCTGCTGGTCTTTCTCCTCCCTCCACAACCCCTCTCCATGCAAAAGCAGTGAACTGAAGCATTTTGGCCATTTCACACCACCATCTCCCCTCAGTGTTCACACAATAACTGACACTTAGGAAACTGCAGCTGAGAATGGTTGGGAACAAAGTAATCCCCCACCTCTTCATTGTTCCACATCCGTTTAGATAAACCACCATTATTTGGACAGTGATTGAGAAAAGGCGGGGTCCTGGAAAAATCTGTTTCTATAATCTGCTTGGATAAATGACCTTTTACACAGCTTTACAGTCAACCCTCAGACCCCTTAACTTTTGGATCTTAAGGATTAACCATTTATCTTGGTTTCATGAAATCCAGCAGTTTTCAAAGACCAGAAAGGAGGGGGAGAAGAGCAGCACCTGTTCCCTCTAAGACTCAGGTGTTACTTTATCAGCCATTAAGAGGACACCGTAAACACAAAAGGAAATAGCTACATATTCCACCCTAAATATCTAAACACGTAGAAGATAATGGCATAAGCCCACGTAACCATCATCCAACTACAATTGTCATTTTGTGGCCACTCTTATTTGAAGAGTACCTGATTTCCAATTGTTTCAGAACCAATTCAAAGGTGACACCACGGGTGACACTTTGTGGAAGGTTTAGATCAAAATGCTTTAATCACATTTTGGATGCAAAAATCCACCCAAGAATTGACCCACTAAACTTATGTCTTCACTGGCCACCTGAATAAAAAGATCTTCCCTGTGTATCACCAGGAAAACCATTCAGTCCTTTTTCATTGCAGCAAAGACTTTACATAAGTCTCTAAGAACATTAACTTCAGATAGCCAAGAAGCCATCTAAAAGCCACGTATCCTAGGAATTTTAAATATTAAAAACACAACATATTTATGATCAGTATAAATTAGTCATCAAATTACCTCCCATCTAGTTCTCGAACAGCATCGGCTGCATCTCGGGGATCTTCAAATTCAACAAAAGCAAAGCCGGGAGGGTTTCTAGCAACCCACACACTTCGGAGTGGTCCGTAATAGCCAAAAGCTCGTTCCAATTCAGTCTTGTTACCATTGTTTCCAAGATTACCTACATAAACCTTACAGTCCAATGGACAGGAATCACGATGCATTTCTGTAATAAAAAGAATACCCCAAACATTAACCATTTATGCAATGATCTACACAGTGACAAACAGATCCTTGAGAGAATGCTGAAATACCAAAAACCAAACAAGTTACTACCCTCCAAACACCCATTTTTCTCTCATCTGTACTGATAACCACAAAGAAGCCAGCACGAATTGCATTAAGAAAAAAAGGTCTCCTTGAAAAATTGAGGGGGGAAAACACACACCGAAGGAGCATTTACTACAATCTGAGCACAGAGTTAGGGACTTTATCACTACAATTAATCTCAAAAATAAAGCACTTAGAAAAGTAGGATGACTTGCTCAGAAGCAAATCCCGGAGACACAAAAACCAAATGAAACCATGCTTAAAACCAGACGGTAGTTAAAGCCGAGTCACTTGAAAAGTGGTACTAATGTGCCCTCATAAGCAAAAACTTAACCAGCTTCACTCCTCGAGCAGCTGTTAGGTTTTTTTAAAAAATGTACATCACGGCAGCACTACTCTCAAAAGCCAAAATCAAAAGATAAATAAATAAGCAAAATTACCCATACAATGGAATATTACTCAGAATGAAGTATTGATAGATGCTTCAAACATGAATACTGAAAACATGCTATTACTGATGCATATCAAAACTGCACATACTATGAGTCTATGTATGTGAAATATCCAACAGGTAAACCCAGAGACATTACTGGTTACCAGGGGCTGGGGGAGAGGGCAGAGGAAATGGGGGAAAGCTGCTTAATAGGTAGGTATAGGTCTCCTTAGGGAATAAAAAAAAGTTTTGCAACTAGACAGGATGGCTGCACAGCATTGGGAATGTACTGAATACCACTGAATTGCACACTTTAAAATGAAATTTGTTAATTTCACCTGGGGGGGGAATTTCTTAGTGCACGTACTTCCTGCCCTTGGGGGCTTATATTTGATAAATCTTCAAAAAGTCACCTCGACAACGAATCTAATCAACTTGTAGATCAGTTTCAACTGCAAAGTGTAGCCAACCCAATAACTCAGCTTAAGGGCTTCTCCTGAAACACCACGTTCTTCTCACTCTGAGGTTACCCAATTAAATTAACTAGTGCAGACACATCCTCTTTGCATGACCCCACCCTGTACCCAGGAGTTCTGAAGCCAAATCATTGCTGGAGGTTGGTTTTTTAAAAAACTTAGCCGTAAACCGTTTCAGTTAACTATCAACGGGAAGCTGCTACAAGAACAATGCTACTCAAGGAAGATCCTTCGGTTAAAAAAAAAAAAAAGTGATAGGGTGTATGAAGTCAGATTAAAATTAGATAAAAATACGGGTGAGTACAGAAACCAAGTAATACGGATCAAAAGGTCCAATCGCGATTGGTGACTTGAGAAAAAAATTCCTGAGTAGCTTCCAAAGAAAACGTGGTTGGGGGGGGGGGCGGAGAGAAAAAGGCGCCATAAACTCAAAAGGCCGCGGCGCGGAGTACAATTCAGTTAGCGGCTTCCCCCCCCTTCGCCTCAACTTTCGGGTAATCTCACTTCTCACTTCACCCCCTGCCCCGTAAAAGATTATAAACACCTCCACTTTGGAGGCCCAGGTACATTCTCTGATGGGTCAAAAGCCCCCGCCACCGCCCCATGCTGAACGTCACAAAATGGCGGCGGCGTCTCTTTGTCTCAACCTGGCGCCGCCATTGGGCCTGGTCCCTCCGCGATACTGTTAAGGGCCATTTCCCACTACATTCCTTTAGTCGCCGGTCACTTACCGAGATCGTGGGTTGGAAAGCGGACGCTCAAATCCACACACCCTCAGATGGGTCTTCCCGCTTCCCGCTCCCCTCCCCGCCCGGCTCCCGCAGATGCTCTCCCCGACTTGGCGTCCACGAAATGGCGGACCACCGCCTTCTCCTCGCCCTTATTTATACGCCAGGCCGAAGTCACATGATTGGACGGGCTCGCCCAATGAGAGTCGGAGGAGGCCGTGACGTTGCGCCCATAAACGCAACGAGAATCACGGTTGCTGGGAGCGCGATCTGGCGGTGCTGCTTGGGCGGCGGGGATGTACGCCGCCGCGATCCGGTCATCTCAGGCCTGGGGCTTCCTCGGGTGTTTACGCGTGGCCGACCTCCAAGTTACCCTCAGTTCTCCTCTCCCTCGTCTCCGGGTAGACTGGGGTCTCATAACACCACTGTCGTCACTCCCAAACCCCGATCGAGCCGTTTGCTCCAAATGAGATTTAGATACGAGATGACTTCATTAATTACTTCATCCTGGAGAATGGTTACACTGGAATGAAGACCATCGCGTTTACAAACGTGCTTTAGAGTTTCTCCCAAGGTCACTGAGCTGTGTGAGGCCAAGCTGCCACCAGATTGTGCCCGCCCACGTCCCACGCTATGGAAAAGCCCGATAATGGAAAGTCGGCCCGATTCTGGCTGGTTTCCCGCCTCTCACGCAAACCGCAGCGTTTGGCAGAGAGGGGTGGCGTCATTAGCCCGGACTCCAACTGTTTAATAGAAATCAAAAGCAAATGAGACCGGTCAGGCCATCTGGACGCTCACCTTTAGCAAATAACAGCAAAAGGAACTTCCTGAAGAAGAATTAGTTTAAATACTGGGCCCCCAAACGAGTGCCAGGAAGGGCACCTCTGACCTTTCTCCTGGATGAGGCTAGGTTGCTGTGTTGACTTGAGGGTGGGACTCGGGTCCTCAGACCACTCATATCTTCCTCTGTTTTCCACTCCCCCCTAGAGAAACAGAGGCGCAAGAATAGTTAACTACTGGGAGAGAAATACCTCAATCGTGCTTGAAAATGGTTAAGATCTCCCTCTCTGGAACAGTGAGTTAAGCTGGGAAGTTTGTCTGGTGTCCTGAAACCCACTCCCCTACCCTCTTTCAGTGCTGTCTGACTTACTGCTAAAATTTAAATCTCTCAAGAAAAAGAAAAAGAATAATACCTTGTATTTTCAGTCACAGGGTGAAAGATAGGCCATTATTGACTTACAGCGCCCAGACACTTTCTTTTGAAGCCTTACCTCCTATTGTGGCTCTACAAGGTTTATCCATAGTGGGGGGGGGGGGCGGGAATACAGAAATGTAATGGCTCTGAGCCTTAATTTTCTCACTGTAAAATACGAATTTCATACTGCAGGGACTGAGCCAGGACCTGGGCTGGCCTAACCTGGGGTGTTTCCCAGGTGAGGGGGGATTTTAGCAAACCCTTTCTCTTTGTCTTCTTACTTTTCTTTCCTTCTCTAAATGTTTTTCTCTTCTGGCTCACTTATATTGCCTTGGTTTGATCCCCTTCTCTGTGTGAGCTTTTCTCCTCTTTTAAATTTTATTTTCTTCTGCCAAAGCAAAGGCTTTAAAGGCAGACAGTCCTGGATCTGAACTACCACAGTCCCCCTACTTACTACCAAAGTATCTTGAGAAGAACCCCTTAACCTGTCTCAGAATTATTTTCTTCTGTAAAATGGGATAATAAGATCAGCCTTGCCGGGTTGTTACGTGTTGTCTCCTCCCACAGGAACGTCAGCTTTTGTCCTGTATCCCCGGGGCCTAGAAACAAATCTGGCACACAGCACATAAACATATTTGGTTTTTGTTTTTTTAATATATATGTTCTAAGATTTTATTTATTTATTTGACAGAGAGAGAGCACTAGCAGGGGGAGTGGCAGGCAGAGGGAGAGGGAGAAGCAAGCTCCCCATGGAGCAGGGAGCCTGATGCAGGGCTTGATCCCAGGATCCTGGGATCATGACCTGAGCAGAAGGCAGACGCTTAACTGACTGAGCCACCCAGGCGCCCCTAAACATGTTTGTGTAATTATTTAATGACTTAAAGAAAGTATGTATGTAAATCACCTGACAATCTCTATTCAAAAAATGCTCTTTTCAAAGAGTATCCTATTCTTTCCCACCATTTTTCCTGTTTTTTGGTTTATGTGTGTGTTGCTCGTACAGCATGCATCTTTCAATGGAGCACTCTTAATCCCTCCAGCTGTGTTCCAGGATACATTTTGAACCTCCTATGGCCATCCACACACACTTTTCATCTTCTGGTAACAGCATACAAAGTGAATTATCCATTTAAATTTTGGATTATTTTAATGTTGCTTTACATTTATTCAACCACCAACCAGTCTTGAACCACATAAAGCTTCAAAGGGCCCTATCAGTATTTCTTGGTAGGGATAAGGAATGGGGATCATATGTCCTAGTAAACATCTCTCGATCTCCTCTGGGGAACTACCTGTCTCACTGTAGACTGTGGTATTGATTCAAGTGTGGTTGGGTTAATTAAATCTTTCCAGTTCTTAGCACCCCTCCCCCACCCCAATTAGTTCAGGAATGGATGAGCAATCCAATCAGACCAGTCAGCTGCTAATTCGCTAATTCTAGCCCTGCTGCTAGGTCAACCAGAGGTGTGCTCATTTCCTCTGACTAGTGGGTTCCTGAGCCAGGGCAGCCATCCTGTTTCCAGGAGGGAAGAGGCAGTCTGCAGTGGATCCAATCTAAAGGGAGAGAACTGAGAGATGCGGAATAGAGTCCTGGAACTCTTGTTTGAGAAGACCTGATCCCAGTTCCACTTCTGGAATTCCCCAACGTACCTTCCCTACCTAACACCTCACCCAATTTGCCTAAGTCACTTGATTTTTTTTTTCCTGTCACTTGCAAACAGAAAGATTCCAATTACTTCATAGACCTATACCTCTGAAACCAACAATACACTATGTTAATTTATTGAATTAAAGTAGTTTTAAAAAAATTCCAAATACAGAAATTACTCTGACACAGACTTCTCAGTACCTCAGATTGAGAATCACAGCACTGAGTTTTCTTCTTTTATTTATTTATTTATTTATTTATTTATTTATTTATTTTATTCTTATGTTAATCCCCATACATTACATCATTAGTTCTAGATGAAGTGTTCCATGATTCATTGTTTGTGCATAACACCCAGTACTCCATGCAGAATGTGCCCTCCTCAATACCCATCACCAGGCTAACCCATCCTCCCACCCCCCTCCCCTCTAGAACCCTCAGTTTGTTTTTCAGAGTCCATCGTCTCTCATGGTTCGTCCACCCCTCCGATTTCCCCCGCTTCATTCTTCCCCTCCTGCTACCTTCTTCTTCTTCTTTTCTGAGTTTTCTTCTGATTTCAAATTCACCCCTTACCAATTCACTAAGTACTTTTTTTTTTTAAGGAAAAAAAAATGACTGATGGCCAGGCATTAATATCTATGTATAAGAATTACTACTTTAATATTGTGATTGACTTCAAGTACAGCAGAAAATCTATAAGAGCATGGGCCATGACAAAAGTACATTAGCTACTTGGTTCAGCTGTACTCGTAGGAAGCAGATGGCACATCCAACAAAGAGTTAACTGAAGAGGTAATTATTTACAGGGCTAAGGAAACCCACTGGGATGAGGTTATTCCCAGTGGCAGCTTTTAGACCCTATGAAGCAAGGAACAGAGCAGGATTACCAGAAGCCACTAAATGCTATGGCTATGAATAGAGGCCACTATGGCCTGAGGTAGAGGAACTGCAGCAGCCCAGTTTGGGGGGCGGGGGTAGGGATGGTTAAAAGTGGAATAACTAGACTAATCTCTCTTCCCATAGTCACTTCTATCGCCCAAAAGCCATCGGGAAACCTGAGGGCAAGAGAGCTGAGTGATGCAAGCTTAGAGGTCAGCCTCACGGGGACAGAGCAGGTCAGAGAAGACCAGAAAACTGATTCAGGGCTGTGTTGTCCAGTACAGCAGCCACTGGACACACATAGCTATTTGAGTCCCAATTAACCTGTGCTGTAAATGTAAAATACATGCTAGATTCCAAACACTCAGTATTTTAAAAAAGGAATGTAAAATATCCCATTTTTACATTGATGATATGTTGAAATGATAGTTTCTTCATGCATTGGGTTAAATAAATGATATTATTAAAATTAACTTAATCTGTTTCTTTATACTTTTTAACTGTGGCTACCAGCACATTTAAAATTACATGTTTAGGGGCACCTGGGTGGCTTCTGCTCCGGTCATGATCCCAGGGGTCCTGGGATCGAGTCCCACATCAGGCTCCTTGCTCAGCAGGGAGCCTGCTTCTCTGTCTCTCTCCCTCTGCTTGTGCTCTCTCTGTCAAATAAATAAAATCTTAAAAAAAAAAAAAGAAGTATGTGCACCAAAAAAAGAAGAAGAAGAAGAAAAAGTATGTGTACCCAGTAGACTTTCCACCTTCCACATAGAATATTCCAGGTGACAACTGGACTTTTTATTTATTTATTTATTTTTAGATTTTTATTTATTTATTGAGAGAGAGAGAGAGAAAATGATAGAGAGCATGAGAGGGAGGAGGGCCAGAGGGAGAAGCAGGTTCCCCGCTGAGCAGGGAAAGGGCTCGATTCCAGGACTCCGGGATCATGACCTGAGCCGAAGGCAGTCACTTAACCAACTGAGCCACCCAGGCGCCCCATGGACTTTTTACTTTCAAAGCGGGGTGGGGTTCTTGTGCCTGGAAAGGAATAATGACTGATTCTGATAGTGTTTTTGTTTTTGTTTTTTAAAGATTTTATTTATTTATTTGAGAGAGAAAGAGACAGAGAGCATGAGCAGGGGGAGGGGCAGAGGGAGAGGGAGAAGCAGACTCCCTGCTGAGTAGGGAGCCTGACTCAGGGCTCCATCCCTGGACCCCGAGATCATGACCTGAGCCAAAGGAGATGCCCAACCAACTGAGCCACCCAGGTGCTCCTAATTCTGGTGTTTTGATTAATATTAAATTAATCAGTTTCAAATTCTTGAATCCAGTTCTTTTTGTACTCTTAAGCTAAACCTTCCAATCATCGTTTTATTTTCTAAAAATTGAATGTTTCTTTTCTTTTTTTTTTAAGATTTTTATTTATTTATTTGTCAGAGAG